GCTGAATAAAGAAACGTGAATTATTCTTACAATTAGGCCCCGAGGCAAATAATCACTGTTTTTAAAGTGCATTAAATATGACCTGCAGCTGTTTGATCTGGTGCTCTAATGCTCTCAACTCCTCTAAACTAAACAAAGGTGGGTGGATCAACAGCGAGACGGTTTCACACCAAGGGAAGAACGGCATGTGCAAGTCAGGAGGTACAACATTGCCTTTTGTATCATTACTAAATAGATGTCCCTGCACTCTGCACTGCAGTGATCACCTTAAATGAAGAGCTCCATGTATTTGGGACCTCTGAGGCTACGCCACTACCATGTCACTGATGAGATACCACTTCTCTCTATACCCCATGGGCCTTTCCTTGTGCTCATCCCCATACTACAATGCCTTGATACTAGTGAAATAAAAGAAAGATGCCCTGTACTTTTCATTGACTCATTTGTGTGGCCTGTTCTTGGTTGCATGTCCTTTGTACTTGCTTGCAGCTGATGGGAAGTCACCAGGCTATAGCACCTGCATAAATCCCAGGTGGAGAGGACAGCAGGCTGGGCCTCTGGATCTGAATGTGCAGAGACAAGCCTAAAAGCAGGGTGCTAGTGGAGCTGATATTTTTTTTTGTGGTGTAAGATGGAGATACATATATATATATAAATGGCACTTTTTGGGGAAAAGAAATCCCAAAATGCAACTCAAAACCCAATTTGGCCTGTTATCCTGTCCCATTTCTATTTCACAGCATTGTATGGTACCTACTTTTGTCCTGCCACCTATGAAATGGATTTGGTGCTCCTTAATTTCTAATCTAAATTTGCTCATCTATTGACATGAACTGATGTACAGGTGCTGCATTTCACTGGTGCGTGAATGAAATCATCTGCTTCCCTGCCTCCTCAGCGATGCATTTTGGAACTTACAAAGGTAATAGTGTCTGCAGAGCACTTTGAAAGCCTTGCAGAAAAGGCACGACAACTACGCAAATAACTACTGTCGATACTAGTTAACCACGTCAGCCACGAAGGGAAAGCAGGTTTCCGCTTTAGAACAACAAACAAACCACAGCAGTATTTACTGAGCACTTTAAAGATAACAGCAGCTACATAAATACTAAGAGTTATTAAGGTTTCTTTGTGAAAAGGTTAATTGCACGGTGAGAAACGGTATTGCAAGTTTCGAGCCCATCCACAGACAGAATAAGCACCTTTTGGCTACAGGGAATCCAAAACTAAAACTAGCCCTCTCTCCAAAGGCTCCGAGATGAAACAGATGCTCCTAATGGGAAGGTTCTCATGCTTAAAAATTCCATGTTGCTGAAGCCAGATTCAACTTCAGTCCCAACAGGGCAGAGAAAGACTTTGCTGCCACTTCTCCACCATGGAGCGCCATCCCCCAGTCAGCACTGATGAGAGTGAAGAGGGAGCTACAGGCCTCACCCTTCAATGTGCACTAGCCCCACTGTCCTGGTTTTAGCTGGGACAGAGTTAGCTCTTCTTTTTAGCAGCTAGAAGAGCTCCGTGTTTTGGTTTTACTCAGAGGCTTGCTCTGAGAAGAATGTTGATAGCAAGCTGATGTTTGTGGTTGGACGTGAAACTCCAAGGACTTTTCAGTGTGCCGGAGTGCAGAAGCACGGCAGGATACGGGGGGAGCATAGCCGGGACAAGGGGGCCAAGATTCCCCTTGTGATTTGTGGTGGAACTTCAGATTGAGGGCCAAACTGGCCAATTAGTATTCCATATCATGCAGCGTCATGCCCAGTATAAAAGTGAGGGTCAGCCGGAAAGAAGGGCTTTCGCGCTTTGGCTCTTTCGCCGCGTCTGCTCTTTTGCGCTTGCTGCGCTTTTGCTCTATTGCCTTTTTTTTTTCCTCTCTCTTACAGTACTCCCACTCTCGGAGTACTCTCTCTCTCTCTCTCTCTGCCCCTCTCTATTTCGGGGCCTCGCGTTCATCTGGGATAGCAGCTTCGGGACGAGACGGGCTTCGCATAAGAGGGGGTGGTGAGCATCTACACTGTGTATTACTCATCTATACTAAATTGTTCTTATCTCAACCCACGGGTTTCCCGTTTATCCTTTAATTCTCTCCCTCATCCCTGGGGCTGGGGGAGGGTGAGTGAGCGACTGTGTGGGGTTTGGTTGCCAGAGCGGCTTAACACACGACACCCACATTTCAAATTTTGTTTAGAAATAAGAGAAGCCAGTTATAGCCCAATATTACTCAAAAAAAGAGGACTTGATAGCTGCATGCTCTCAGAAGAAGGTCAGCAGATGCTCTGTACAGGATGCAGCATCCCAAGTCTTCTTCGCTCATTGCACGACAGCCCTGGCTGCGGTGGCCAGTCACAGAGGCAGCTGGACACACGACTTGAAAAGTCCTACTCTAAACGGTGGGGAGCAGACATGCATCTTCCCATGGACAGGCATAGTTCAAGAAGCAGCTCTTTGCTGAGTAGGTGTTCCCTTTGGGGTGAGACCCCTCGTGCAAGAAAATACACACGGCATAAAGGAGAGGCCACCTGCAGATACTGGACACCTGTGCATGTTGTCAGCTCAGCTTGCTTACTTCAGCTGTCACAGGACCACTGTTGGCTTGCCCTGTCCTCTCTCCTATACTCTGCCATCAGGAAAGAATAGGAGACTCTCACTAGCAGTGGATGCTTCCACATTTTTTAGGAAGGCTGCTTGATCATTACAGCCTGTCTGATATTAAGAGTATTTATTGCTCACCCAGCATGACTACCAAAGACCTTCTTATGATTATCCTCTTCCTTTACAACTGTGAAAGGGCTTTTCATCTTAAGAGTGTGGTTGTTCCCAGCTGTTGATCTGAAGAAACTTTAGGGAGAAAGATCAATACTGAGGCCAGGCTACCTGGAGTCCCTCTTCAATGCACTGGGGTCTCCAAATAAACCTATCCTCTCCAGTGTGGCTTGCTAAAGAAGTTAGAGTCCAGTCCCATGTAATGCTGTGCAACTTAAGTTCCCAATAAAGCTCTTGAGATTTCTGCATGCTCAGTGTTTTTCAGTCCCTTGCAGAACTTAATCCTGGATACAATCATCCTCTAAGCATCTTGCATAACTCTTTGGTTCTGTACCAGTTTGTCTGCAAGTTTCCGTTAGGCACAACATCATTTTAATGTAAAAATACAGCAGCATGAATTACCTAAACAGTGAAATTTTTCTGGTGTCTTCTCATATTGTTGGAAAACTTAAAGCTTTCCTTTCTAATGCTGAATAGAAATTGAATAGTAATTCCAGCTTGCAAGCAAAGGTACGCCCACTTCTGTCCTCTTTACCAGAACCCTTACTTCTTACCTAACTTACTTATAAAAAGAATAACTTTATAGTTTGGTAATATGTATAGCTAATTTTCACTAAATAAACTACATTCATTTGTGCTAGCTCACTAAAAGTTTGGGGTTTTTTAACTCACTGAAGCAAAAGTGCGACAGTTCAGCTGAATCCTAGGCAGACATTTTTTAAGCAGGGAATACTTTGTTTCCTTACAATTATCTTCTCTGTCTTCAACTTCTAAAGCAATTTTTCAGTAATTTGCCAAAGTTTGAAGGTAGGTGAAATGCCTGGATTCATGTACTGAACTAACTTTATAGCTCAACTCACTATTAAAATAATCTCTAATGTTTTTGTGGCTAACAGGATGTAGTATATACTGTTTATACTGCAAAAATGACAGGGTTTTAATGGGGTGTCTTACAGCAGCATGGTTAAAACATAGCTCTTCACAAACAATCTACAATTTGCACTGCCTTCCCCAGACAGGCACTAATAGCATGTCCAAGCATCTCAACCACAACAAAGCCCAAAACTGCTCTTGAGAGTTCATTTTTCATGCCTGCATTAATTAGTGGGCCTGTTCAAGTGTGGCTATGTGTAACCCTCTCACCAGCTGTTGAAACACCTGTACGCTGCTTAACTTCTCCCACAGACCTGGGGGACAAGTGCATTGCATAGCAGCCATGTGTACTAAACCATAGTGTCACATATATGCGTGTGCAGAACATACGTGTACCACTTGTATAGCATCTGTGCCGTTGTGCCCGACAGCTAAATTTCTGATGGACTTGCACCAGGGTTTGCTCAATAACCGGTCCTCCTCTACCCACAAACACACATGTACGTAGACTGTAGGGTTGGGGACGGATTCCCCGTAGCACTGCATGCACATTGCAAAATGCTATCGACTGCTCCACGGTGTTTCTGTTGCTGGACAGATTGACAGATCAAGATGCTACAACCGAGGAGGACATCTCCTTGCTTATTGTTTGGTTGGTAGCTTTTGGCATAATTTGTAATGTTCTGGATCACTTTTACGGAGCTTCACGTAGTAGCCAGATTGTTACCAAAGCCCTGGGCTGGCAGGAGGACTTTTCCTGTTGGGGCATCGCAGGTGGGATCTCACCTCTAGCCCCATGCGGCACTCGGAGGTAGAGAGGAATGGTCTGAGCCAGCTCTGCCAGCAAAGGGAGGGCAGCGGCATCATGGGGCTGCTCCGGAACCAGCTGCACCCAAACAGCTGTGAGGTCTGGGCGTCCTTTTGGCACAAGGGCCGAGTGCTTCCGACCCACAAGTGCGCCCTGAGGCACTCGTTACAGATGTGCGGCCATGCCAGTACAGGGACGTGCGTCTGAAACGTCAGGAGTGCTTGCCTGCGCAGGGACACGTACGCTGCAGGCGCAGAGGAGCGAACATCGGTGCTGGGACCGGTGAGATCCTGGAGTGTAGGCAGGGCTGCAATGCAAACGCAGCTTCCAGGCCAAACCCTGCTCTCGTTGTAGTCCTTCTGCATTCAGCGATGCTGGGCGGAGGCCCTGGCCCGTGGCGACCCTGTGGTGAGGGCCTCGTGCGTTCAGGGAGCGTGTACTGGAGAGGCTAATCAGTTCTGCAAACTGTTCCAACAAGCCCTTCTCGGGCAACCTAGGTTTACGGTCATGCTACTCTGGTCAGGGCGCATCTCTGTCAAACTGCATTTGCTACAGGGCTGCATTAGCTTTTCCTTTGCTTTTCCTTCGTGCGGAGGAGTCGGAGGATGCGTTCATTTTTGGTTAGTTCTGCTGGCAGTTCATTTGCCTGGAACAAAAAACACCTTGAGGTTAGCAGAAAGGAACGAGTATTTCCAAAACATGGTTTAAAAGTATCAAACTCTAAAGAAGATGGTACTGGGTATCGTAATGACGTGTTTATTCCAGTGTTGTCTCCACCACTGTTGGAGATACATTAAGAAATTGTCTTTCAGTGTGCAAGTCTCACCTAAATCTTCAAAATAATCCCAGCATGGGCTTTGAGTGGTCAGCTTATTCTGTGCTGACTGCCCAGGCTAAATGGTGTCCCTTGGGCTCCCTATGCTTCTGCTACAGAAGTAATAGCATAGCTGCTGATACTTTGGGGGAGATGAGGCAGGTCTTTAAGTACTAACGTCCATTAAAATCCAAGAAAATACTTGCTATGAAATAGCACTATTCTGTAGGATTGGTAATAGAACTTCAGAGTTCGTTCTTCTGCCTTTTACTGAATACAGTATTTATAATGATGCTACTTTTCTCCTGCAAACGTACTACGTGGTGCCAAATTGCATGTCGTTTTTTTGTTTTTTTAAATCAGTAGGAGACTTCCTTATACTGCACACCATCCTGCTGCAAATCACCATCAGTAGCAGAAAAATATTGTGCATTGCTTGGATGATAACAGCAAAACAAAGTGCCTGTTAACACGGACTACTGCTTGCGAGGCATTAACTCTGCTGCCATCAACTGGAATGATACAGAAATAACAGGCTCAGATTTTAATGTTAAAAGACCAAAACCATAGAAGGTATGTGCTGGAGTACTTGTATTACAAACTTTCATTCACTCAGTCATAAACCAGAAGTAAATACCAGACCACCCATTCACAGCTTAACAAACCCAGCTAGATATCAAATACTAGCAGCAAATAGTTCATAAACCCAGCTCAGAGGAAGACATTCTCATGGAAATTATCAAACATGTAATGTTAAAACACTTCACAGAACAAAAACCAAGACAAGTTTTCTGCAGAAAAAGTGCTGTTATAAAAAGAATATGAAACTATTTCAATAAACTAACTGATTTACAGTAAGATATGGGAAAGATGCATGTAATTTGGGAGATTTTTTTGTTTTAGCAGTCTGTGGAATTCTAACCAAGTGTTCTTATCAAAGGCACCCGGACACACACTTCTCTTCCTGTGGAAATACCCTCCTTACACATCTGTAGAGACGAGAATATAATTTATGACTCATCAAAACAGTAACAGATTACTATTTCCCTAAAATGCAACCTAGCTAGCCTATGACTCGTTACAGTTAACAATTTCATCTGTGGTGCTGGAGTCAGCGAGTGCATGGTTTGGTTATTCTCAGACGGATGTAACTTCACAAATACCAGCATCCCAGTGGTACTGCCTAGCACCCTTATAGATGCCTGTGTGCAGAAACAAACGGACCGAACGCTGGTGTTCAGGAGAGGCTCGAGGCAACCACGGACCAACTCAGAAGCGTGGGCTGCCACCACCTCTGCGGCACACGCAGCTCCGCCACTCGCCACTCCCTACCCACTCCTCGCCTGGGATGGCGTGCCAGGACGTACCTTGTTCCTCAGGCACGGGTCTGCTCCTGCTTCGAGGAGCAGCGCCACTGTCCTCACATTGCCACTCAGGACGGCCGCATGGAGAGCAGAGGTCCCGTTCTAGAAAATACCAACGGAGATGTTTGTACTGTGCACGGGAAGCAGTGAACCAAAAGGCAGTGAAACACAAAGGTTTGCAAAGAACAAACCTATGAATGAGAAAGAAGTAACATGGAAGAGTTTAGGTCATCAAAGGTATAGGGTCTGATTTAGACAGGGTGCTGGCAGGCTAGTGGGCTATGAAGGAGGTGATTTTAAATGCTTTAATAAAAATGAGAGTCAAGTTCACTTTACCGCAGCAATACTTCCTTTTAGAAATTACCCTTGTCAATAGATTAGAGATGAAATGAACACAGCACTTGCTTCTGCCTGGCAAAACCAGCCATTAGGAAGTGAAACAGAAGCACAAACAGTAATGGAAACCATCTGTGCATTTTATCTTCTTTCTCTGATGACTAATGGTCTCACTGTCAGACAGCTGAATGGTGATTGTTTTATGGCTGGCCTTTTGTTTGTGGCTGCAAACTGACAGTTCAAATAAGTGTGGAAGTTATTTCATACTTGTAATTAACAACTAAGTCAATGCCACCTAATTTTTCAAGTACATCAAAATTGCCAATTAGCTGCATGCACAAAGGCTATCAAAGTATGTGATTTATAGGCACACAAAATTGGAACAGCTATTAAAAAGCAGCTTCCAAGTATCTGTTATTTTTCAAGTCACTTTTTGAATTCAGAAGAAAACAAAATTAAGTGGAGAATCTGCTCACACAGATCTCTTAGGATACTATTTTGCTGACTAAATATAACAGAGGGCAGATATAATGCTAACAACTGCACCATTGAGAGCAATTAATTTACTGTAGAAATAAAATCAGATGACAAAAAGCAAAAGAATTCCTTCTACGACACAGTGTGCTTCCTCATTCCAAAACTCAAATTTATAATTTCATCTGAAAAGATTAATTTGTGTGTGGCATTAAAGGGTAAAGGAGATAATTTCATTTTTCTCTTTGTTTTTTTGGGCTTAAGCTCATTATTGTCTCCTACTGGCACAGTCATAAACATCAGGTCTTTCATCAGACCCTTTGCCTTCTTGAGTTTCTGACTAAAAATCTGTGTGTTTCACTACTGACCTTCAGCAGGCCAAGTGTGGGAGAGAATTTCAGCAACTCTTCTATCACATTGTTGTACCCTTTAATGGCAGCCTTCAGTAAAGCAGTTGTACCATCCTTTAAAGGAGAGAGGAAGGTCAGTTTGGTTGTTACCAATACTTTACCTGTGTTCCCCTCGGCAGGGAGGGAAATGCCAACTCTCCCGTGCACCTCAGAGGAGGGTCTCCTCTGCTCATCGTCTTTGAGGAGGCACCTCCACAGCATATGCTGCTGGTTTTAGGGCATCTGGAGGATTGTTCCTCTGACAGATGAAAACTTCACGGTAAAATGGACCAGTGACACCATATATCATCTTTGTCTCTCATTTATACGGACATTTCCATTCCTTATTCCAGAAGGTCCCTCCAGGAAGCTGTCCCACACACAATGGGAAAAAGGGAGCCCACGATGGGACTTTACAACTTGGCAAACAGGATGGATGCTGGGAACACCAGGCCTCCATTTGGGCAGACCTGCAGCCTCAAAAGAAGCTCGGAGGGTGAAGCTGCAGACAGAGCACTGGAAAAAGTGCTACTCACGTCCCGCGCGGCATCTCGCTCAGCTCCCCTGAGCAGCATTACTCGCACCACTTCGCTGTGACCCATCTGCGATGCAATCCACAAGGGAGCCGTCCCATCCTGCAAACAAAATGAGACTGCTAATGGTTTCATTTAGAGATCCTGTGCTTCCTGGTATTTTACCACCCAAGTCTGCCTACTGGAATGGACGTATTTCAATTCCTCAATTAAATCCTGCGTTGCAGACAGACATAGGCAGAGTTGCGTCCAAAAGCACACAGGAGCTCGGTGTATCGAGTCAGAACCGCTCCAGTTGTGGAGGAGAGACACCTTGAGCTGCTTTCTCTCACACAGTTATCCTGAAATGTGCATTGCTGCGTGAACAGTTAAAGCCCTCTTTGGCTTACCAGCCATGCCTAACATACATGGGGAAGTTTGAAATGTGAAGGCAAAGGTGTCCTGTGTGGTTTGAAGTCTAGGTGGCTAGACATGACAGAAGATACAGGGAAATCTCAGCATGCGTGTGCAGATCCTGCAACTGGGTCTCTGTACAGATGGAGTGCAAGTTGTTTATAGAAGCTAAGGAACAATGTAAGTTAATCACAAACTTTCAGTATTAATTTACATTATCCAGTCTCAGGGAATCTGGTAAAAACATCTTGCCTCTTCCGTGGGCTCTTTCTCTTTGGAGGGCTTCCCTTTGTCCTGGCCATGCTCCCCCCCAGCCTGTTGTGCTCCTGCACAGTGGCAAAACATGGGAAGCTGAAAGGTCCTCGCTGTCTCAGTACTAACTATAAACATCCGTGCGCTATCAACGTTCTTCTCATAACAAACCCCAGGCTAAATCCAAAACACAGAGCTCTTCTAGCTGCTAAAAACTAACTCTGTCCCAGTCAAAACCATCCAACAATGATGGTGAATATTTCACAAATTTTATCTTAATGAATTTCACTAGAAAACAAGGCAATTATCAAGGAATCCAGCATGAAACAATCTGGCTTGGGAAAATTGTCCTAAGCAATCATTATTTGAGAAAAAAAACTCAGAAAATAAAATGCACATTCAGAATAAGCTAAACTTTGTGATGGATTTCCATCGCAAAGGCAAAAGTGAGTTAAAGCATTAGAAGCATTTCTTGCCGCAATTATAATTCAGTTTTGTGTCTTTTCCTCCTTTTGGTTCTAAATGGCCTGATTCTCCAGGCTACTGGAGGTTGTGTGGTGCCAAACGGATTCTCGTGGGCCTTTAACAAAAGGCTTTGCCTGTATGGACTTTAACATAAAATCAAGGTCTCGCATAGCGGGGTGCCTGCTTCTGCCTTCAGCGCTTGCCAGTTCCCCTCGCCACCCTCAGCAGCCTGAAGATTTGGCAGGAAAAAGGCAGACGAAACATACTGGGGCTTCTGAAAGAGCCTTAATGAGAAGTTTCGGAAAACAACTTCTTACTTTAAATAAAATATCTCCACCTTGATCAAAGAAGCAATCTCCCTCCTCAGTGCCAACTGAAGATTCATATGACTTTCTCATGCAACCCAAAAAACCATGGTTGAACCACTTCTTTGCTTTCTATGGGCTACTGACTTAATCCTTCGGAAGAAACAGAAAAGTTATTTCTTCCTTTGATGTAATATTCTGGGCTTCCCTTTTTCTGATTGTGAGAAAGAGCAAATGCATATCCTGAGACTGTCAGTCTTCTCAAATGGTGAGGAACAGGATGTTTGCTCACTCTTGTATCATTTCTCTATAAATTAACTCATTGAAATTAGTGACTGACCTAATTCTAGTATATATCCTGTTAATACCATGAGTGTTCTTCGTGATTCAAAATTAACAAAGGCTCTCTTGTATACAGCGTATATGATGTTAGCATGATGGCAAAAAACGTCCCTCTCCAATTTGTAGTGTTTTCCTTACCAGTAAGCTGACACTCCATATTTTTTCTTAACTCCCCCCACCAGAGGGCTCTAGAAAATAGCAATAGTGGCACTGAAAAAGCCTATAAATCTTGGAAAATAGATATCTGAGAGCAGCCTCAGAATCTCAGTTATAGGCTAGAGGCAGAATTACATTGTGAGAAAGAGTAACTGTCTTGGAGGACTCAGCCTGAAGAGAGAAAGATGATGAAGTTGATGGTGGGCTCACACTGGCTATTGTCAGCTTCTCTCTCTGAAACAAACAGCATCTAACAGGCAGGTTCATGCAAGCATGTATAATATTTATATGGAGCAGATGAGATTTCTGTCCATTTTCATGTGTGGTGCAAAAGAGATACTACAATGTACTAAGAGGCCACATGAGAATTCCTGTGTCCAGATATTAGAGCTTGGAGATGAGTCAGGAAGAAAGTGAGAATTTGCAGTTCAAAAACTACTTTCCTTTCCTTGTCGCTCAGCCCACCCAGCAGACTGCAGACCATTACATTCCTAGAATAATGTTAAATACCCGATATGTTTTTAAGCTGTGCTTATTTCTGTATTTGATTACAAGCTAATATATATGGACTACATCTTGTTATATCCAGCAGCCAGCAGTTCCAAAGTACTCTGACCAAAATTTCTGATGCTCTTTCTCTTACCCCTTAACTAATGACTTCGCTTTGCAGCTTTGAATCTCAGCATTTGCTTGCGGCTTGGAGTTTTAGAAAGGGCCAGATTAGGGTGGGAAGTGAAATGCTCCTCAAATTCCGAGTAAGGATCTCCAGGGACAGAGAGCACCTATTCTCAGGCTACTCGGTGTCATCTCCTCTACTGTTCTGCCCATCAATCCACTCGCACCACTACATCAGCTGAATTCTTGCTAATAAATTGCTTGCTTAAGTTTACATTCTATATAGGTTTACTAGCTTACACATACATGTAATTGCATATCTTGTGTTAAGAAAAAAAAAGTTAATTTTCAAAGTATTTTGAATCTGCTTAGTCAGTCAGACTAAGCCTGCTGGGACACAGGTTGCCAAAAGAGAGTGTAAAATTCATTGCCAAATAATCTCACTTTGTTTTTCAGTTGGAGAAGCAAAGAAACATCTCCCACACCAGGCTTCAGACACTGCCCCCAGCTCTGTCTAGACAAAAAGATGACAAAAGAATTTCTGCCCAGCTCCACAATGTCAGAAAGAACACAAGGTGGCTAAAAACCAAGAGAAATTACATTGCCAAGGAAGACACTCATCACGAAGCTTCACTGTTTTGTCTTGTGAGAGCTGAGCTGAAGGGCCTGCACATGGACGGCCAGTGCCATCCAAGATGCCCTAGTGTCAGGAACACCCCATGGGACTGGGAGATGGGGCACGAGACCAAAGGGGAACTGGTACCCACTGCAGCAGCTGGAGATGACATACAGGGCAGATGCACGTGCTCAGGCAGATGAGTTAAGCCCCCAAATTCACAAGGTAGAGAGGAAAACCTGGACACCATGAGGAAGGAGAAGCATGAACTCACACCTGGCACTCTGCAGCTGTGGCCAGCCCTGTATTCGATGTTGCATTGCTTAGAAAAGTTTCCTACAGCAGTGAGAGCAGTGTAGTTCGTAACCAGCAGTGACAGTCATCTGGCATCGAAACTGCCCCATCTAGAGCTACATTCCTCATGACCAACATGCCACCTTCGAACAAAGTACAAGTGTGTTTGTAAGAAAGAGACTGAAGTCCATCCAACCATTACTTTACTAATTAAACAGTAGAAATGTTCCATTTGTTAAGGAAATGTTTCAGGTTACAGTGAGTCCAAATACAAATGCCATGGATTTATCCAGGCGTAATCTTAGCAGGGATCGGAGGTACCCTGAAGCAAAGTAAGCCTGTATTGCCGGAGATGAAACAGAGCCAGGAGGAATGTTCAGACAGAGTCAAGTCTTTGCTTCAACTCAGATCTAAAAATGCCTCATGAAACATTGTGTTGTAGAAATTGGATTAGAGAGCTAAAAAAATATTGTCAGAAAGCATTAGCTGGGGCATTATAATTACGGTTAGCAGAATGTAGTTTTTATGGCAACACGGTGGAGCTAAACCTAAGGCTCCTCAACTTTATTTTGACCCACTCGAAAGGCATTATGGCATACCTTGGTCTATCCTTCTACATTGATCTTTTAGACTGCATTAATTAACAACTTTTAACAGCGTTTCTTAATCTTGATCTTGGGAGACAGCGTAGAGGCAGTCTAGAAGCAGCTAAAGCATCAGTTCAGGGAGTAGCTGCCAGCACAGCTCTCATGCTGGAGAGATGGGGGAAGAGGCAGCAGGAAAATTACTTTAGTTTGGGCACATAAAATGCTAACGCGATTTCCTTATACTGCAGGAGCAGCAAGGAGGCTACGCAGACCTACAGATGCAGGAGAAGTCATATAGATTAATCTCTGCTGCCAGGCTACAATGTGTCAAGGCTTTTTGGTGTAGATGAAAGGAAATACTGAAAATACCTGGCAAAGCTTGTTCACATGCCACGTTGTCCACTGTTACAATAGTTTTCACATTCATTTGCTCTTGCCTGCTGATTTTGTACTTGCTGCAGTTGGTGATCACAGCCACCTGGCAGACAGACATGACTGACTGCAAGGACAAGACCTTATCCCATCAATTTAAACGTGCAGTGAAGATGCAGGAGGGCTACCTTGCCTGCAGGGATTCAGCAGACCACAGGAGAGGCTCTCTCAAAGCAGGCAGATTCCTGCGAAGCCCTGTCTCTAACCAGACATTTTTCTAAGTGCTGGGAGTAAAGCTAGCTGTGCAACTCCCACATCTGCCTACTCAAAGCAGCATCTAAATGTGCTGTTCATGCACTGACTTTAGAGTCTAGAAACAGCTAAACAATTAAGAAATCCTTTTTAGGAAACCAAGATAGCTTTTATAGATGTTTCTGTACATCATGTATGCTTACATATCCCTCAGTTAGTTTAACACCTAGAAAATCTCTCTAATCCAGCATTAATTTTTCATGACTGTAAAATTTAATAATTAGACTCCAGCTCTTCCCTGAAGCATTGAGCCTACCTGCCGTGGCTGGTTAACCTTTGCTCCTGAAGAAAGCAGCAGTCGGATGACATCCAGATAGCCTCCTTGTGCTGCCAGGAAAATTGCAGAAGCTCCATCCTGAGAACAAATACATCCAGCTTACACTGTGTTAAAATTATGCCATTTCTTCCATGCAAAACCAAACTAAACTGAATCAAGTTCTCCTTCTTAAGCTATTATGTAGTGTAAGAGCACATATATAGCAAAGTTCAAGAAATAACTACCAAAATCCAAAGACTAATTCATAACAAACTATGGTAACGTTTTCATTCAGCACGCATAAGTACTGGCTCCCGTCATATACCAAACTGAGCATTAAATCCCAGATCTGGAATAATAAGAATCTAGTTCATTGAAGCATTGATCTATATAACAAGAAATCCATTCCTATATAGCAAAATATATTTATTTTGGTTCATTTAGCTTTTATATGTCCATGCAGAAGTGTTCTACTACATAGGCATATATGGTGAAAACATTTGTTTTGCAGAACTGAAGACTCCAGCATTGAAGTCTGCCCTTGAGGCTGAAGGACTAAGTACTGTGCCATAGTACTGTGCCATAATACTCTGCCACCCCAGCAACTACCATGCCACTGCCCTGACACATCTTGTAGAAGAGACTTCACCTGTAACATAATAATGTAAAAGTAGCACATGCAAGATAGAGTATTGCATAGCCCTATCAGAAATCATAGTTTTCCTGCAAAAGGCATGTGAAGGAAGTGAACAAATACGGGATTTTTCTTTTCTCAACAGGTCTTTAATGTGCAGATGCGCTTCAGCATTTGGCTTCACAGAAATTTTTTCCTTAGGAAAAAAATGTAAAAGTCATATTTCATTAATGTTTTTTGATGAAAAAATTTCAAATAGTATTAGAATCCATCCAACGAACTGGAAGTGAAAACCTGGATTGAGGGTGGGACAGATGTTTACCCATCCTATATCCATAGCACTCAGCACAGAACATGCTAGGGCAAGTTTTCCCAGGAGGTGAGGTTCTTTTAGTTTAAACAGACATGAATGAATCCCTTCACCACATCTCAGATGTACACATCTTCCAACCAATTTATGCATATGCTTATTACAAAATACAGAGCATTTTAGTGGAAGCCTGTTGTTGACCTTGTTGGTGCATCACTATGTTGGTACCGAATGCTGTTGTCTGCCTGGAGATACTGCTTAGCTACTCCCCTTCCTGCAAAACTCAGCATAGGCCTAGTGAAGCATGAGCTGAATACAGTGCCCCAGGGACCAAATTTAAAATGTTTGACATTGATTTCAAGACAAATGTCCTGGTAAACAAGAGAGGTGTCTGCTGGCACTACAGATTAATATCTCTGGGCCCTCTGAGGGGCTGTTTTTTCCGGGTTGCTATGCGAGTACATGAAATAGGGTGATGGTATCAGGTCCTTTGCAGGCTTCCTTCAGAGACAGAGGTAGTGAGAACAGTTACATTTAGAAAGTAAACGAGGTTGTGTAATAGTAAAGGAGCTCTTTATTATAGCATCAATCAAGATGGAGAACCTTGGCTTCTCTATTATCCAATAATTTAAAAACTATTTAGGTTTTTGTACTTGATTTGAATTGATGCTGTAATGAGAAAGCTGTTTTGAGGCTATAAGATATTAATTCCTGCAAGAAATACAGTTTAGTTAGGGTATTCTCCTGTCTTCTCTACCCTTCACACGAGTCAATTTAAGATTAAAACATCTATCTATTGTGATGATTTTGAGAGGACTACCGACAAGCATGCTTGAAATCCTGCTCATTTGACCACCTGTCAGTGAAACTGCCAGCCAGATATCACTTCACAAAAGCAGCTTGGCAACGTCTCACAAAAGGAGCTAGGCTAACGCTCGTTTTCTAGAGATAGTGTTCTTATATTATTAACCAGCTGTTTCTGACTGGTCTCGCCCAATGGCTGTGAGCAATAAAAACACATCTCAAAATCCAATTGCAAATATTGCTCATTTTCAGGAGAGACAACAAGGAAGTTATTTTACTGCCTTTACTTCTAGGTAGGCATCTGCAGGTGTGGCAGCATGGCTATTTTTAAACTGAGTGGTAACCCCCGGGATTACCGTATGCAGAGGTATGAATCACTGCCCTCCGATTAGAAAGGCTGTTTGCTGCTATTTGTGCAGCAGCGAGGGCAGGACACCCTTCTTCATAAATGCAGGGTGAGGGCAGCAGAGAGGTGGGGACCCCCTGTGCGACCAGTGCAGGGCCCCTAGCATGCTGGTGGCTTCTGTGGTCACCAGCCCTGGGCTCCCCATGCACACTCATGGGAGTGGAGTGTGACAGCATCCTGCAGATCCAAACCCCATGGAAAGGGCTGTAAAAAAATCGTATATCCCTGGGGAATAACTTCCTTTTGTTCAGTCTTGAGTGCCCTGGGGTAGGAAAGAGTGATGGGAAGTGGAGGGAAAATCTGCCACTCATTTCTGTTGAACACTGAAAAGCTCAACTTATTTGTGGCTCTGTTGGAGTAAATTAAAGCCAGTGCTTCACTGGCTCACTCCAGCTTTCTGAAAACTAAACGACGTCAGTTCAGCCATTTAACCATTAAATCACGATGTTCGCCCAAAGCACTGACAAGGTAGAGATGCACAAATACCAAATGACATAATTTTAACTGATATTAAAAAAAAAAAAAAATTAAAGACAACACAACTTTTACTACCCTATCTGGCAGAAAACTGATTAACTGATTCTCTAGTACGTCAGTGGCTTTATAGCTGTTCACTCGTCTGTCTGCAGCGCAAATCATGGTAGAACATGACATGGTCTTTTCTTTGAGGGTAATGGATAGCACAAACCTAATCTGGTACATATCCTTCATACAGATAACGAACCAAAAGGCAGAAAAATCGTCTTTTCTCATTTTGTGCTACTACTCCCAGGATCATGAAAAGCAGACAGTTAACAAAATTCACATCTTAGAAGAGCAGAGTACTATAAAACCACGATGTTTGGCAAATGCTTCTCTGTGCTGGAGCCAGAGTATCTGCTGTTGTCCAACTAACAGCACATTTGTTCCACCGCCAGTGTTGTCAATATTATCTGTGTCAAATAACTCACGTAAAGTTGATCATGAATGTTGGCACCGTGCTTCAACAGAGTTTCCACTACTTTTGCATGCCCATACTGACAAGCAGCTAGAAGAGCAGTACCTCCATCCTGTGAAAAGGCAAAGAACGGGTACAGTCAGGTGAGAGGGCAGGTGCTGGACTGAACATCACCATAAAAAAAAGTGCAAATTTTAAGGCTTTTCAGAATTTGGCACACAGCAATTCTGTAGGGACTAGCTACTGAATCTTTCATAATCTTAACACCAACTCTCACCACATAAAACTTTAAACTTGGCTCTGTCACTATAAACATTTTTCTCCTGACGTCTTCTAAGTGAGGGACTAAGAAAACTGCTTTTTGTTCCTCGTCTTCTGCCTTCCCACTAGAAGCTTTGTTCCCTTCACAACTGCAAGCTCCTCTATATCTCTTTCCTTTACAGCCAAATCCCCCACCACTGCCAGCACACCTTTGCCCTCCTCCAAAGCCTACTGATCATCTACTCTTCTTTGGCCAGAACCTCATGTCCTGCCTCTCACCTGTTGATTGTTGGCTTCAAGAAGAATAGGGAGGATTCATTTTAAAGCATGCTAGCTAACTATGGGAGTGTTGTCCTGGTGTCGGCTGGGACAGAGTTAGTTTTTCTTTTCAGCAGCTAGAAGAGCTCTGTGTTTTGGTTTTAGTCTGGGATTTGTTATGAGAAGAATGTTGATAGCACACTGATGTTTATAGTTGGCACTGAGACAGCAAGGACCTTTCAGCTTCACATGTTTTTGCCAGTGTACAGGAGCACAATAGGCTGGGGGAGGGCATGGCCGGGACGAAGGGTCCACAACTCCCCTCATGATCTGAACTTAGACTTAGGATCAAGGGCCAAATTGGCCACTGAAGTGTTCCATATCATGCAACATCATGCCCAGTATATAGATGAGGGCTGACCAGAAAGAAGGGCTTTTGCGCTTCTGGGGGTTTTCACTTTTGGACTCTCGGAGTGCTAGTTATCTCTTGCTCTCCTTTTGGGCCTCTCACTCATCTGGGATTGCGGTGTCAGGACTTATCTGTTTCAGGATCTTTCGCTGGGACGGGACAGGGCTTGGTCATTGGGTGGTGAGCAATTACACTGTGTGTCACTTGTTTGTATATATTATTATCATAATACATATATATTTTTTCATATATTATTACTATTAAATTGTTCTTATCTCAATCCATGTGGCTCCTTTTCTCCTTTAATTTTCTTCCCCATCCCCTAGGGGTGGGGAAGGGTGAGCGAGCAGCTGTGTGGCATTTAGTTGCCAGCTGGGCTAAACCACGACAAGTATGAATCAGACCAAACCCATGACCATCACTGAAAGCCCCATTAGTTCTGCTGAAGAAGTGATCCCTGCAGGTGGGACCAATCCGAGGCTGTTATAGTTGCTGTACATTGCCACTAAAGGGAGACCTAGGCACATGCGTCAAATGTTGCTTGTAGAGACACTCCCTTGGCAGCTGTTTGAGAAGGGAAACACCTCCGAGTCGCTGGCAATTGACTCCAAGCCAGCTGAAACAACTGAGATATAGCAAATGTAGTTCTTGCCATCTTAAGTGCACTGTGCCCCACTCAAAAATTACCATTATTTCTGATACTGATGTAGAGAGGAAGTTCTTATCTTCTGCCTGGGATGGCACCATACCATTGTGCAAGGAGGACGCACACCTCAAATCATCCACACCAGAGGTCTTCTCTCTCCTCTGCCTTCTCCCAGTCTCAAGCCCTTCCTCCACAAGATAAGCTATCTAAAGTATTTCAGATAAATGGTTTCTAGAGCTGTTACTAATGTGGGCAAAAGATTGTGTTTTCCCTCAGCCTTTGAAACAGCTCCAAACTTTTGTCTGAAATTTTCCACACAGACAGATATTCACAAAAGAAGTTACAGCCTGAATGACCAAATAGATCTTTTATAATGGGAAGTGCCAATCAAATTTATTAATCTGTGGTGCTATTTCATGCCTATAACAACTTCATGAAAACTCAAGTTCTGACAGAACTAATGCACGCACTGTCTATAGCTACCCTCAAAACCTCATATTCAGCCTTCACCCCTACGACATTAAAAAGCAAACAAGGCTCAAGCGCCAGCAAAGTCTCAGATGTGAAGCTGTTATGTGACAATCTAAGAATTGCCTATTAATTCTAGATTATTTGAGTAAATATAGCCTGTAATCAGGTCAGCAGAGTTAAGTTTCGTCTATAGCTACATGAGTCATTAGACTTTCCTGTCAAATTAAACTACCCTAATTTCATAGGAACTGCTGGAACAAAACAGAAAAGCAACCACAATTGTTCCTGGATTAAAAAACACCTTATACACACTTAAAAGACAATGGCAAAAAATAATAGCTTAGGGAAACCTATTTCCTGTCTCTGACCGGCTGAAAGCCAAATTTTGCTCGAGCAGTGAGTTACGAGATCAAAGGGCTACAAACGAAAAACAGAGACATTTTTAAAGACTCTTTCCCTGAAGGAAATGGAGAGAGAAAGGCTAGTGAGTTAAGAAGAGAAACTGTGCTATCCAGAGTGGAGGTCCTCTGTGGAGAGGCAGGGAAGGACAAGTTTTAGGAAGCTTAAAAATATTGAGGTTCCCTGTATGGCAGGTAAATAGACATGCTCAGTTAGCTGTATATGGGAATAGTTTGTTTATTGCTTTATGGTCTGGTTTTTGTTTTCTAAAATTCTTGTGTTCTTAACAAACTCTTGTTATTTTAAGAAGATTGTTTGGTTACTAACATAATTTCTGGAGGAAACCAAATGGCAGGTCCCAAGTCAAAGGCAGACCTGCAAAGCTAACCACAGTTAGCACAGCAGAGCTGACACTCAGCACTTGGAGTACAACTGTGTGATCCCACCTTTGAGGTTTAAGAAGGGAGACACTTCTCGCAGGATATGTCTAAGCGTCTCAAAATGGGGATCCTGACCAAATATTTGGTTGAATCCAATGAACAGTTCTAGACAGATACATTTTTAGAACGAGTAACACATTTTCAAAATATACAATGTAAATCTTTCAGAGTAGAGTGACCAAGTTTCCTAGATCACCCTGATGAGAGTTTAGGGATGAGGAAAAAAACATTTGGTGGTCTACAATTTCGGCTGCTCACCTTGAATCAAATGTTTACTGGGCCAGAAAGAACTGGGTAACAACTCCTTGACTCAAAGATTTCACCCTGGTCAGGAAGACGATTGGGCTCTAAGACCTGTTCTACTGTGTCTCCTATGAAGTGAATACACTCAAAAAAAGAGACTGAGATTCATTTGAATGTTCAGATAAAGAGCTGGTCTTGCTGAAAGAAAACAGAAGTTGGGACCAGAAATCTGTTTCACTGAAAAGACCATGTGGTAAGACAACACTCAGTTAATTAGAGGAATTGTCAAACAGTGTGAAAGTTCGTGGTTTCTTAGAAGGAGAAAAACTCAGCCCCTCCCCACCCCTACTGACCTTCCATCTTACTTTCTTTTTGTCCTAGTTTCAGCTGGGACAGAGTTAGTTTTTCTTTTTAATAGCTAGAGTAGAGCTGTGTTTTGAACTTAGTATGGGATTTGTTATGAGAAGAATGTTGGTAGCGCAACTGATGTTTACAGTTGAGCTGAGACATCAAGGACTTTGCAGCCTCCCATGTTTTGCCAGCGTGCGGGAACACGGCAACCTGCGGGGCAGCATGGCCGAAGCAAAGGACTCACAACTCCTAGTTTAGGATTTGATCTTAGACTTAGGATTGAGGGCCAAATTGGCCAATGGAATATTCCACGTGGTTTCAGGACTTCTCTGTTTCCGTATCACTTGCTGGGACGGGCTGGGTGTTGGTCACTGGGTGGTGAGCATTTAC